GCAGAAAATGATTCAGAGCTTTACAATTGGTAAAAAGCTCTAAATAATTTATATGTGCTGAACGTAGTCTGTTTGGCCACAGACCGTTCACCGTTTTGCCCTCCTGGGTGGCACCCCAGCCTGTTAAGGATGCATCTGTCGTCACCACTTTCCGCATCGTAACCGCCCCGAGAGGGGTTCCCCGTGCGTAAAAGTCTGCGTTCTTCCAATGGCGCAGGGCTGCAGTGCACGCGCGCGCGTCACTGTAACCGAGCGGCAAAGGTCGCGAATAGGGCTGAAATGTAGCTAAAAAAACCCATTTCATGAACGCCCTCATCTTAAGGAGTCCTAATGGCACAACTTGGGTGGATGAAGCCATGAGACCCTGCATCCTGAGACATGTGCGATATTGCATTTTCGCCCCTTCTCTGAACTGTGACAGACAGCTCATAGAGAGCGAACGCGCTCTAGAGAGAGACGCGCTCGCATGGCAACCGAGTTCAACTCCAAACCCAGGAAATTGACATTCTGACTGGGCGTGAGATTGCTCTTGCCCACGTTCACTTGGAACCCGAGCGATGTGATGTGCGCGAGCACACGGCCGGTGTCCTGCAACACCTTCTCCTTCGATTCGGCTATGATGAGCCAATCGTCTATGTAAGTCAGGATTCTCAGACCTGTTATTCTCAGAGGCGTTAAGCCCGCCTCCGCGCACAGACAGAAAGACCGGGGACTCAAACTGAGTCCAACGGAAGAACTGTGAATTCGCAACATATGCCCTGGTAGGCAAAACGAAGAAAATTCCTGTGCGGAGGATAAATGCTTATGTGAAAGAAAGCATCTTTCAGATCGACTGATGTGAACCAGTCGTTCTGTTTTATGGCACGGGCGAGTGCGCCCTGTGTCAGCATTCTGAAGGTGTATTTCCTCAAATGTTTGTTTAACACTCGAAGGTCCAAGATAGGGCGGAGAGAGCCGCCTTTCTTTGGAACCAGAAAATACCGGGAATGAAAACCCTGGTTCATCAGATTGGGGGGTACCACCTGAATCGCTCCCTTGTTTAAGAGAGATGAATTTTCCTCTTCCAGAATGTGAGAAGCTTTCTCTTCCGTGTGAGAAAAGAGAATGCCGTTGAAATGAGGGGGTTATACTGCGAATTGCAATCTGTAACCCTGCATTATTGTACGCATAACCCACTCGGGAGCCGAAACGGTTCGCCAAGCCGCTTCGTGACTCGCGAGTGTCCCCGCTCGGGACAGAGCAGAGCTGTGTCTTGAGACCAACAGAATTATTTGTGATGCAATGGCGCCATCTCGTGGGCACACTAGAGGCGACATGCGGGGGTTCGGAGGGGTTTCCTCTCTCTGCAGTGAGAAAGGTTCTCTCTGCGGAAAGAGGTTTTCCCTCCGAAACGAATTTGTTAGATTCGTTATTATTTGTGTTTTGTGTGTTTTGTGTTGGGCAAACACTGCGTGAACTGGGCAAACATAGTGTGGTGTACACTGTGCTAAACTTTACCCACAAGGAGCCCCCAGAAATTGGGGGGAAACACACATCTCCTGAACACATGAACTGGGCAGTCTCAAGTGCAGGCAGAAAATACTATCCATTTTTAAGGATATATAAGAATAGTTTGTTTAAACGTGTATTTAGTTATGTGTTGGGAAACACAATGACCAAGCCTTCCACACACACAACGTGCACTAGAAACACATGGCTTGCAGCCGCAACTGAGCTGTGCGAGCCCAGCTGGTTGATTTGTGAGGCAATGGCGCCATCTTGAGGGTGGACTCGGGGCGACATGCAAGGGATCAGAGAGATTTGCTCTCTATGTTGACACAGATATAAAAATCTGCACGAATTCATTTGATTCGTTTAATAATAGTTTGTGTTTTGTGTTGGGAAACACTGGGGCAAGCCTTTAATAACTGGGTGAGGGAACCAAGTGTGTGCGGTGTGGTAACACTGCTTATGTACTTTCCCTCACAACAGCCCCCCTGTGGCTTGGTAGCCACGAGACGGGATTACCCGACCGTCCGAGGGAGACCCCGTGTCTTTCGGACAAGGGTTCCGGGACCGGGAGAATACGGAGGGCTCGTGGCCCGTGAACGCGGGCTGGAGGCTTCCATGGTGGAACTCCCAGGCGGGCTGCTGGCGTTCAGGGCCGCCTTCCTACTCATCAAGGCCCGTGAGACAGTGTTAACAGTCTAGCGGGAGGCTCTAGGCGCGCTTGAGAGCTTCGCGAACACTGGAAAAAACGTTGAAGAGTTGTTTCCTCAGGCTGGGCGGTGGTACCCGCGTTACCCGTCGTAAATATTTCTATCCTGGTCGGTGGCGCTCTATGGAGCTGGCCACACAATGTTGAGACGAACGGCCGCTCGCTCACAAACTTCCAGGAGGATCGACTGAGGCAAAACCGCGTGAGCGCTAGCTTAGGGTAACGTTAGAAAGACCGCGTCATCCTCGTCGCCGGAACCGACCGGTTCGTCAACGAGAGTGAGGTTTTCCCGCGAAGATGTCCTCTTCAGGGAATGCGGATTGGGCTGAATACCGCTCAAATATTTTATCTGTGGCGCTCCGGGAGTCCCCCGGTAGCGCGTCATCATCACCGTGTCCCCCATCCGAGAAAGAAATGCCAAGCACGGTGCGCTGGATAGTGCAACTAAAGCCGGCTTTGTAAAAAGCTACATGGGCAGCAATTACAATGACCGCAATTCTCCGGGTTCTCCAAAGCTTCTTGAGCGTGCTAAGCCCAAGCGAGAGGGTCCTTAGCGGCGATGAGAGCACCACACGCGGCCGGGCAGACTCGTCGTGATGGACTGTTCCCCAGGGGAAGCGGCTGTTAGACGGTCACATAGCCATGGGTGGGCCAGCGGTGAAGAACTCGGAAAATACGTGGCGGGCAGCCATGTAAGGAGGAGCAGGTGAAGGACAGTGAGAGCTCGGCGGCTCCGGATGCAAAAAACACAGCGGATAGGCTGAAGAAAAACGACTGTCACTCACGTCTGGCGGAGGCTGATCTGGCGATATGTCCTCCTGTAGACTCGAAAGTGGACAGCGTAACGTTAATCCAACCGAACTGTGTCAGTGCAGAGGTCGCGAGAAGCGAATGTCAACTGAGGAATAGAAGCGCGCCCAGATGTTATATGCCCGTGGGTGAGGGGTGTGGCCTCATCGGGCACTGGCCGCGCGCTTCTGTCTGTCTAGCCAGACTTGGTGCAATTGGATGCTTCTGCAGAGGTCAGGTACGGATGCCCTTCCCATAGGTGGATCTCGAACACGAGATGATGAAAGAGAACATATACACAAAATTGGAATGCAGTAATACATGTCCAGTTAAAACTAAAAACAACATCTTAAACCACTAGAAAAACACTACCAAATCTTACTCCAACTAGAATAATTTATAAAATAATGAAAATACAGATAAATAGTATGTGCGCAAGGTTGACACTCGTGAACTGTTGAATTTAGATTGTCAACAGTGGAAAAGTCATTGCAAGAAATCTTCATAGGAAATCTCACATCATTGACCAGAGGTCAACTGGTCTCCGACATTTATCATTGTTCAGAGCAGTCCAAGAGGAAATGTCAGTTGTCAAATCCTGAAAGTCTTTCAAACTCTTGTCTTTTAACAGCCCAGTCAGTCAGGTAGCATTGCATGTTCCCAGAGAAGCAACCTTGGTATTTTCTTTAAAACTGGAATGTTTGAACACAACAGCCATGTACAAATATTCAAATCAATTACACTTTATCTTCCTCTTTCTATTAAAAAAGTTACACCAAGTAATGACATGGCTATGTTTGCAATAGCATGCTACCATACTACTTATATGCATGCAGTATGTATCTTTTACTCATTGTCTATATGCTTGGAAAAGCCAGATGACCTATTAAACGTTCTAAAATGTACACTTTAAAACACTCTATTTCCCATAATTCAATACTTCAAACGTTTTTTTTTTTTAATTATTATTATTTCTAGTGTCACAAATCAAGATTTTGTTAGTATTATTATGTATTGTTTAATAATGATTCGACCAAACTGTCAACTTACTGTATGTTAACATTAAACTGAAATAAAAATGTATGCAAATATTTAATTTTCAATAACAGTATTGCATTCACTGAATTTAAACAAATAAATACACTACCGTTTAAAAGTTTAGGGTTGCTAAGATTTTTGTTGATGTTTTATTTATTTATTTTTTTAATTTTTTTTAAAGGAGTCTCTTATGCTCACCAAAGTTGCATTTACTTGATCAAAAACTCAATTTTATTACAGTTTAAAATAACAGTTCCTTCAGAAATCCTTCTAATATGCTGATTTGGTGCTCTTATTTCTTATTATTATCAATGTTGAAAGTATTATTATGCTGCTCAGCACTTTTATGGAAAACATTTTTTTTTCAAGGATTCTTTGATGAATAGAACGTCCAAAAGAACAGCATTATTAAAAAAATAATATATATATATATATATATATATATATATATATGTACAGTATATATATATATATATATATATATATATATATATATATATATATATATATATGTATAAATGAAGAGTTCAGATGCAAAAGCCTCTAAGTGCCATTTGAAATTTTCTTCAAGAATGATCATTTTTATCAAGCTTGTACATTTAAGTTCAGTAATTTTACTTAAATGGCAATGATAATTACCTATTAATTGTTATTTAAGTGAAATTACTGAACTTAAATATACAAGTTTGACAAAAATCATCATTAAAGAAGAAAATTTCAAATGGCATTTAGAGGCTTTTGCATCTGAACTCTTCAAATCTTTTTATCATGTCACTTTTTGATCGTTTAATGCTTCAATGCTGAAAAAACAATTTCTTAAATAAATAAAAAATACTGACCCCCAAACTTTTGCACAGCAGTGTAAATCATTAGAAAAAAAAAAGTAATGAGACAACAATGTAGCATACAAAAGTATTACATAATGTAAGTGTTATACCTTAGAGGCTGACATTTTTTCAGGAATCCCGCGGGTCACGGGAATCCCGCGAGATGAGAAACAAAATCACTATGCATCACGGGATTGGGACGGGAGAGACAAAATGTCAGCGGGAGTGGGCGGGACCGGGAATCGTAATAACACTATGATACCCAACTTTATACACAATTATACAGTTTTTATAAATACATTTTTAACTAAATTATATTTGCTACGTCTCTTTATGCTCTCCTGTTTGCTTTGGTGTGGCTGGTAAAGTGAATGACGTGCTCCACACACCCGTACCAGTTGGTGGCTGTAATATAGCTGCCAACTCTCATGCATATTGGCCATGAGACACCCGCATTTGATTGGTTTCACACGCTCACACGCCACACTGCTGATTTCTCACACTGAAGTGTCAACCTGGCAGGTCAAATGCCTGGAAGATGAGTTTTTCTATATATCTACCTATATATCTATTTGTTGAGCCACTCATGATCGAGTAGTTATGCCGCAAATTAGTTAAATTCTCCTGGAATCTAGAGCGAGCGTGCACGCGAGACAGAGATTGTGCTTCAATCTGCCTTCAATCAGATAGAGAAAGCGAGTGAGAGACCTTGCGAATGCGCGTGTCATCTAAACCACCCAGTTTTAGTTATTTTTCTGTAACTGACAGATTCCGGTAAAAAAAATAACACAATACGGGAGTGGGAGGGAATAGGAGTCATTCTTCTGGGATTGGGACGGGACGGGATTTTTTTTTTGATGGAGTGGGACGGGACAGGATTTTTTTTTGTGGGAGTGGGACGGGAGAGGTTTGAAAATCCACTCCCGTGTCACCCTCTATTATACCTTATGGTGTGTTCACATCGAACACAGATTTAAATATTTGCGAGAGTAGATTACATACAAAGTCAATGCAAAGACGCGAATAGACGCATCATTCGCGCCGGGCGTCACGAATGACGCGAATTGGGCGGCGCGTTTGCCGCGAATATCTTCCGTGCTTGAAAGTTGAAAAATTTGAACTCGAGTGAATGTTCAAGCGTCTAACTAGACGCGATAGACGCGTATTTGAAGCTCTATTCACATTCGGTGTGAACACACCATTAGTCTATGAGAAAATTACGTAGTGTACCTTTAACTCTCTGGCATATTTGACTGTAGTAATGGTTATCAGATCGAATGATTCAACAGTAAGACAAGTCATTCATTCTTTTTTATATAATAATAATATTAATAAATGTCTAGATTTGATCATCTGCACGGAGCATGCGTTTAAATGGTTAGTTGTCTCATCTAACAGTCTTTACTGTGTGTGTCGAGGTGCCCGTGCTCTCGCCCGCTGCTCTACCCCAGGTGTGTACCGCCATTTGGGTGCCATTCCCTTCAGTTTCTTCCTCTTCCTGTCCGATACGCACCACACCTTCTCACAATACTGCTCCACCCGCTGGAAGTTGCTGTAGCCGATCAGCTGCATGAAATCCTTGTACCAGTGCTTTGAGGAGGCAGAGGGTAGGTTGGGAAAAGGGCAGGGCGGAGGTCTGTGCAGAGAATCACCTTCCTCCTCCTCTTCTCCTTTATGCAATAGACCCTCAACTTTGCTCTCCTCCAGCACCTCCAAAGTGACACGAACCACCATTTGGACAAAGCCATGCTCCGTGGACTGGCACACATAGACTCCTGCGTCTCCCTTCGCTATTTTAAGGAGCAACAAGCCATGGGGGGTGTGAATCACACGATCATCACCTTTCACCTGAGAAAAGGAGGGGGAAAGACACTAGTATAAAGGACACTATCGAATTTATGACCAGTTAAAAAGTGAATTGACTAGGGTATATTGGCTGGTTGCTAGGATGTTTAGGGTGGGCCGACTTCCACGTCTTGGACAAAGCTCATGATTTGAGGTATAATTATTAACCAAATATAATACTTTCATTTGTCTGTTCTGAGTGAGAGCAATAGTAATAGTGATGCTCACTTTAGCAAATACGATGAATACAAGTGGCGTTATTGAAAGTCTAATTTACCTTGTTTCTGCAGAGAGATGGTCAGTGACATAGACGATGTCATTATTCTTTTCCATCTAAGATGAATCACTGGGGGCTATATTACCCAGCCTCTCTGTGATAAGAATGGTACAATGAAGCTTTAATCTATATTTAACAGCCATCTCTCACCAGGGGTTCAGACCATTCCTTTGTGATGAAATAATTTCTGAGCCTGACCATGTGAGCTCTACCTCAATATCATGTTTAAATGTAGACTGCATGTGTGAAGTCAAATCTGAATTATTGCATTCAGAAGTTGTTTACATGTGTTGGAGACAGATGTGTATGCTAATATTTGTTCATAATTTGAATAAATAAATTATATAGATATATTTATAATATGAAATACATTCTATTTTAGGGCTAGGGATTGTGATAGTATTATGTCATGTTAATATATTAGGTTTTACATAAGAATAATACAAGTCTATAGTAGGTCCTCTTAGATGTGTGTTTTTACCTCCTCCATGTCCACGCCATGTTGAATGTACCACATTACAGATGCCTGCAGTGATCGTGGTCTGCATTCCAGCAGGGTACTGTTGTTCTCCACACCGTATACCAGCTTTTCTGAGATGCTTTGTTCTTCTGAAACACACACACCCACGTGAACAGCCAATTCCAATAAATTCATTATATGAGGATCTTTTCACCACTGAACACATTCAACATCTTGCAACTCAAATTCTTGATTTTTCTCTGTAAACCATGGAAGCCTTCTGTCACAGAATAATAAAAAAAGGTAATTGTGACCATCCATTTATTGTGCTCATGGCTGTTGCATGACTCCTGTAGGACACAATATGAATATTTAAGCATCTTGTGAACAGAAGTCTGACTGTCACATTTGATCCAATGTGTCCTTGCAGAATAAAAGTGTTACTTTCTTAAAAAAAAAAAAAGAAAAAAAAAAGAAAAAGAAAAATGGTACTGACCCAAAATGTTGACCCCGGTTGTGTTTATCTGAATATTTTGCTACCAAAAATTATAAAACATATTGTGCTTATAATTTAAAATGTTATTATATATAGTCATTATATTTGTCTTGATTGGATTCCATTGCATTTCCATTATCATTTTAGACCATATAGTTAATTTCACATTTTCAACATATATTTTTAGCTTCCATTTGAATATTGTAATGTTTAACATCAGAGCTTATATTAGACGTTAGTTTGATTCAAGCTGAAATTGCCATGTAGAAAAAAAGAGTGCGGAAATTACATCCGGAATAAGTCACACTCTATATACTGACGTCTGTCTCCTAAAGTAAAAGCACCATCTGTGCATTAAGAGATTCCCATCAACTGTACTGTGACCTCTTCATCTTTTACAGATCTCATCCACCACATTTTTTCTTATAAAGCTCCTAAGACTCTAATATCCTCCATTGATCAGGCTATGGCCAGAACATACCACTAAGCTGAAGCCCATTGCACTGCTGAACCGCGTTGCCATGGCGGACATCTTGCCGTCTGAAGCGCCTAAAGAATGAAAGAGAAAAATGAGACATTGACATAACCCAGACACAGCCTGCCTGTCTGTCTGTCTGCAATTGTCATAATATCATCCTACCGCCCAAGGTTTGTAACAGCACAGGGAGGTGACAGAAATTCAATCAGACTCGCTCCGGTTTTTATTGGGAACTCTGTGAGTAATGACTCTGACAGGCATTTGGTGCTGATTGTGTGCGACTTGTCTGGCTTTGCATACAAAGTGAGCGTGTGATGGGTATTAATATGGGCGATAGGTGTTAGCATCAATCGCTAACAAGCTCAAACTGATGACCGAACTGAGACAGCTGACAGGCTTTTGAGTCGGGATTAACCAAACCCTCCCACTCACCCTTTGCCCCGATACGCTCAATACACAAGCACACACACGCTACCCTGCGGCTGAGTGAAACATCAAAAGAGCTCTCACAAAAGCACACACTCAGTGAGTTCACTAATGGAAACACTGGGATGGAATTCGAACAAGATTTTGGTGTAGGCCTACAGTATGCACATTTTCACACACTAATACTGTACAACTTAATCAAGAAATGCATTAATATCCAAATTTTGCAATGCACAGTTCATGGAAATAAAACATAAACTCCTTTCGGAATGTCAACGCATCTCATGTCTTTAACATTTTCTTAATATAAAAGCAATCTACAGGCTCAATACTTACAGTATGCACTGCCAGTCCGAGGCTGATATTTAAAATCACCCAAATATCAGCCCTGTCAAATGTGTCAGAGTTATTTGAGTGTGTTTAAGGCTAAGAGATTAAATGTTAAGCATAAGATGTAATGACTCCTGCTACAAGAAAACTTAACCCTTAAAAAACTACATACACCTAACACATTATTTATGCAATTACAGTGTAAAATAACATGTAAATATAATTAAAAATGAGTAGCAAATAAATTAGTATTAGTATAGTATGGTGTAAATTACTATAAATTAATCATTTGAATTCAATGGCACCAAAAAGTATTTGAACACTTACATCCACACTTAAAAAAATGTCTGAATGTCATTGCATTACATGACAAAACATCAAACCAAGCAGTATTTATCTTAAATGTGATAACACTATTGAATAAACTTGTGACAAAATATTAGGTTTCAAATAATAATAAAAAGATGTCGTGTTAAAAATGAGGTCCTGCGTGTGAAAATTTTCCATTCATTTTGCACAGCCAGAAAATTTCCATAGTTAGTGTGAAGTTTAATAGGGTGCATTTGAGGAGAATTGGCGCCATTTATCCACTAACAATGACTTGTAAACCGGTTGGTTAAAAGTCATTGATACAAATGTCCCAGAAAAGGGAATTTAGTTCTGGGAAACTAGAATATTTTTTTTTTTTTTTTGGTTTAGATAGAATGAAATTGGGAGATTTAAGTGTGACTTAATTCATTTTACATTATATTTATGTTTTTATATTATTCCATTACATTTGCATAGACTTATAGTTAATTCCACCATGAACAACATTAGATTCAATCATTAAATTTTTTCAAAATAATGATATTAATGTCTGATTGTCATTGTATTACTAACAACATTTTTTTAAAGAAAAAAGTTAGGTTTTAGGTTTGTTAGGTATCCAGTTATAATATATATATATATATATATATATATATATATATATATATATATATATATATATATACACTATTCAGAATGGAGACTTTCTGGCAGTGCATAATTAATATGATGGACAACTGGGTGAACTTGAGAACCTGCACCATATATCCACTGACATTGACTTTTGAGACCAGTTGGACTGCAAATAATGCCTCAGATAAGTGAATTTAGTTCTGAGAAAAGTTCTAGTGTCATTTTTGGTTTTATTTTTTTTATATCTATCTAATTTTGAGGGCAACATAAATATATACATACTTTCTGGGTCCATTCTATGTGCCTGCTTGGTTTTCTTCACATCCTACAGAAATATCTTATGGAGTTTTTCCTTGCCTCAGGCTGTTCATCCTATGGGTATTAATGTTCTGTAAAGCAGCTTTGGGACAATACGTACTGTGAAAAGTACTATACTAACAAATCTGACTTGACTAAATGGTACCTTTTAGTATACAGGCCTGCAGGGTAGTAGCGTGAACATGTGAACCCGTCCCAGGCACAGTAGGGGTCTCTGGCCAGGCAGCAGTCTGCACAGGCGGATCCGTAAAGCCCGCACTGGTGCACACGAATCTGTGTTACACCCAGCTCAGAGCCCACGTACAGCTGTTGCTATGGAGATGCAAACACACTGCTGTCAACAGCTTTGTTACGTGTGATGAAAGCCATTATGTCCAAATCACGACATTAGCATAATGATGAAGATCAAATCATTCTCCTAGGCATCTGTATTCTAAATAATTTAATATATTACAGTAACAATAACAAACACCAAAAGAATCTCATGTGATAGTAACGATTGTCAGTATTACAATAACAAACAAAGCACCTGTCTTGTTATGAATGTTGAATTTGCTACAGGTATCAAGACTGTGGTGATCAGTCATGCATGAAAAGTTTACTCAATACCACCATCTCCAGGTGGAAAACTACAGTGTATGTGAATCTTACCCTTTTGGTAGAGACAAGGATCTCTGTAATAGGAACAGGGACCTAGAATGAGAAAAAGCATTTAGTGTGAAGATTGTTTCTTAGTGAAATGAAATGGTTTTAATATAAAGATAAAAGGGAATTTTGATGACCTTGAAAACCTGCAATTCCTCCAGAAGAACCTCTTCAACTGTGCCGGCTTCTTTGTTGTAGATTGTGATCATTTTTAATACTACAGAATTATCTGAGTTCCAGAGAGAAAGAGAACTTGAATTAGGATATTTACTGACAAAAAAATGCATTTTATGTAATATTTTTATATTATTGCGCTATAAGCCCTGGATATGTTTATTAGAGACATTTTTGTAATGTTTGTAGTCTTGTATGCTCACCAAGGCTACATTTATTTGATCAAAAACACAGTAAAAAAGTAATATTGCAAACTATTACAATTTCAAACAATTGTCTTCTATTGAAATATTCATTAAAAATGTATTTCTGTGATAACAAAGCTGAATTTTAGGCATAATTACTCCAGTCTACAGTTTTACATGATCCTTCAGAAATCATAATATCCTGATTTAATGTTTAAGAAACATTTTTGATTATTATCATTTTTTTTCAGGATTCTTTCATGAATAGAAAGTACAAAAGAACAGCATGTATGAAGTGAAATTTATATCTTTTGGAATATTGAAAAAAACAACAAACAAAAAAACATTTTGGAACATTAACAAAATCTTTACTGTCACTTTTGAATCAAATGCAGAATTTCTTGCTGAAAAAAAAAAAAAAATATATATATATATATATATATATATATATATATATATATATATATATATATATATATGCCCACAAACTTTTTAATTGTAGTGTACATCTGCTAAAAGATATTTGTCAACTTATTAGCAATATATAACATAGTTGGCCTTAAATTCACAAAACTACAATTTTGATTTCTATGGATCTGTAGACTAGATCAAGTTAAGTAAAGGTACAGTATACTGTGATGTTCCTCTACAAGGCAAGCAAATATTTAGTATGACACAAGCAACAATCATTGCATAAAGTCTGTATGACAGTGCTGGTCTATGAGTAGATAAAATGGGTACTAAAATGGAGTACCAGTCCCTATGAAGAGAACATTGTAGTGTCCATCCTCAGCTTCCACCCGGTCCACCGCCAGCTGTGTGAGTTTACGTCCTCCATCGGTGTCCAGCAGAATGGGTCGCCTGTGAAAGGGCTGCACTGCCTGGAACATGAGGGGATGGGAACGTGCAAAACGAAGAACCTCGTCCGGGTATGCCTTAGAACTGGAAAACTGGCCTCCATTTATCTTACTGGCACACTGTGAGACACAAAAAGGCTGTGAATATGAATATGCTCATAAACACAGTTCGCAGAGTCACGAAAGCCATTTGGGTCTTTCATTTTGTTTCTCCTGATTTGAGAATAGCTGCCCTGCTTCTCACTGCTATAACCTTTTAGAACAAGAGTCTAATCAGAAACCCAGCAGTGCATGACTCAAACCACTAAATTGCCTTTTAAAAGGTCAGCTGTCAGAGACATACTTTTTTTTTCCCGATATGCTTTTTCCAAGAATATCTGCACATGGAAACATAAGAATTTAGACTAATTTTTAGATGTGAACAACGGAAAAAAACCCCCGATCCTTCAATACACCAGAGAAAATGACTGAATTACAGGCCATTACTAACTATTGAAGACCAACCTGACTGTTTTATCGGCAAGAGATAATAGCCAGAGAAGGACATTAATCAGCACGTATCGGATATAATTAGAATTCAGACCACGGGAATGCACGGGCATTAACATTAAAGAACTGGCATGACACGCTTGAGGAGAACAGTGATGAGCACAGTCATGCTGAAAATAGACTTATCTGCCATGAGAGATCCTGTGTGTCTGAAGAAATAAGATCCAAAATTCAACATTTACCCAAATGGCAGTGCATGTCAGAGGTGTAAACGCAACACATCGTGACATTTTGTACATGGGGATTTCTGATGTGACACAAAGTGACTGACGGACCTAATATACAAGCTAATAAAACTCACCGATCCAGGTCGCGGGTAAGGGACACTGCCATCGTACACCTTCCAGTGGTGGTCAGACCGTTCCCGGTGTGCAAAAGGCCCATTAAATACTGCCCGGATGTCTTCCATGTTATACATGCACACTGCATATCCTTTAAACACAGCACTGAGAGAAGAAAAAAAAAACAGACGCATATGAGTGTCCAGACTGCTGTTCATTCAAATAAACAGAACATAAGAAGGATATATGTGACCTCACCCACCTGGTGGTGCTGAAAAGTCCAAAGATCTCTGGATTTTTCTCATCTTTCTTCTGCAGCACAAACACATCCTCTAAAACAAAAGAATAGGAAGCATCATCAGCAAAACTGACACAATCAGATATTAGTGTCACTCTCACTTGATGGATCTGGTGAAGAAGCTGTCAGCCATCAAAATATTGATTTTTAAACTTTAAAAGGATGGAACAAACTAAATTATAACATATGCTAAAACAATAAGGTGAGATGATGATTAGAGAATTTACACTTATGTAATCAATCGCTTATAAGTTATCATATCACGCAAAAGTGTGCAAATTATACTTTGTTCTCAAATTGTTAATGTTAACACTGTAAGCAAGCTTTGCATGACTACATGTTTTTTCATTCCGATATGTATTCTTGTTTTCGCATGGGTCCGGTCTCTTTTTTTTCTGTAGCCACTCCGAAGTCCGAACAAAGTCTTTTGCATTTTACAGCGGGTGAATCTGTTGTAACTGATGATTATCGTTTGAACCTTTCTGGATCCACCATCAAATTGATAAGTTTAATTATATCAAGTGCTGTGAGAAAAGGCTATAAATCTCCACCTCCAACATCCTCACACACAATATAGCTTACACTAGCCGAGACTCCTTCTTTATGTGTACAAATGTGACGTAATGACGCAAAGACATGCTCGAATCTCCTGTGGAAATCCACCAGTACCACTGGAATTAAAAACATACAAGCTTACCACTTTGAATCTAGCTAAAGCTAAAGCAGGCAGATAGGTTTGAACACTGGTTATGTATTTTCTCAAATATGTATTTTGGATCATTTTTATTCCAAAAAAGAAAAAGCTACGGACTGAAGCTTTAAATAATAAACATAATGAAAACTTGTACTTTACATCTCTGATGATCTTTGCAACAGATTAGTGATTAATAGGACATCAGTGAAGAAACAAATTAGTTATAATCTGAAAGTCAAAGCGATCATCAGTGAGATCCCTCTTGAGATTACAAATTTGGTGATAGTTAAGCAACACAGCTGGTGAAACAGATTTGAATTTTCACAGCTGGCTTATACTCAATCTGGCTTATACTCAATACTCAATGTGATAAACACTTTGAAGACATGGAGATCTATTGTAAATTGATCCGGGTGGACAGATGGATACTTGATGAAATCTCTATAGCAGAAGGCAAAATGTGAAAAAGCAAAAAACTGATTTATCAGCAGCTTTGCTTCGAGGCATTTGATAAAAAGAATCACTGAGCTGGAAGAAACAGCTCATCACTGAAGCTAAAAGTGCAGTTCTTTTTTTATTTCATCTTTCAGTGCTATTGTGTTTTGTTCAAGCGGCTCATCTTGATGTATCAGGATTCGATGCTTTAAAGATGGGCTACTGCTCAGAGCATGACATTGACTTCCTCTGTATATTACCAAGACAAAAGCTAAATAAAAAGCTGCAGTCTATCTAATATTCAATATTAGGGTATTGTGTCCAAATATGTAAAAGTTAACTAGATGACATGTTTTTGTGTGATTTTATGTAAGCATAAATGCAAGCTTTATGGGCTAACATTACAAATAAGTTCCTGTACAACAGAATAAGACAAGTTTGAGAAATTCTCATTTTTCAGCTGTATAAATACACTAAGGAATGCAAAGACAAAGTTTTTAAATACATTAGATTTTTTTTATCTACTTAGCTTAAAGGGACACTCCACTCATTTGCATAAAGCTTTCCATTATTAGAAACCCAGTTATACTTTTGAATTGCCGTGCAACACTCTATCATTTTCCCCTGAGACGAAAGAATTCTGCTATTTACCTTTTTTACTTCCTCCTACAATGACGCAAAAATCGCCATTTTACGTCATTGTACGAGGAAGTGTGAGAGGGGAGAGCACTAAGCACTAGATTAGGGGTTGGACCTAATGCGCTAACAGACCTATCACAGTTCAGTGCCAGTGCGTTTAATTTCACCGGCAGAACCTTTTTGAAAATATGGACGAAGGTACCGAATACGCAGACGGATGCATTATGGAGGATTGGGATTACACATAGCGTCAGCCATCTTTTTTGGAAGCTAAGCTAACAGGCTCTTGTTCTGTGGAGAAAACTGAGTTGTAACTTTAGGGGTAACCGTCCTCTTTTTCCCAGACATGTCCATCCGTCGATGTCCGGGATTCAGCTTTTGCTTTCTGCAGTCGCCATTCATTATTAACATGCACAGCTTTTGTTTCAATCTAACTGAATTCATTCCGATTGGTGAATCTAAATGTAGCGTTTACATGAGTGCTAAACAAGTGATCAGTTAATGTGCGTTTTAACATTGCTAAGAAAATTCCCGCTCCTCCGTGAGAGATACGAGACTGCAGACGGAGACCGGTAACTTACACCTCACAGGTGTCGCTCATCTTAATCATGCCACCGGCCTCGCTTCGTTCTCCACACGGCCCTCACTCGTCCTGCTCGCCACAGTAAACATGATGAATGGCGACTGTAGAACGCAATATCCGAATCCCGGACATTTTGGGCGATCTCGAAACACATTTTCGGGCAGACTCATCACGGAGACTCACTAGACTAGCCTAGACTTGTTTAACTACTGCGCTGTTACCGGTAGGCGTGGCCTCCTAGGGCAGCGAAGCAAGTGCATTCTGGGAGTTGTTGTCTTTCATCCACAAAAGCCAAAAATACATTTTCTGGCTTTTCTCAGACTAGAAAGCTCTAAATTAAAAAAAATAATAATTTTACATTTCTTCTACATAAATGACCCATTTTAAATACACATTTATCTTTAAAGAGGTGGAATGACACTTTAAACGGTAAAGCTATATGTACAAATGCTTACATCAAAAACAAAATTGTAGTGTGTCCTAGCATTGGCATACCAGTGTAATATTTCCTTTGCATCATACACAAGCTAGTGTTCATGTGGAGTGAAAGTGGACAAATTAAGTTTCAGGCATATGTTTAGAATAACTGGCCAAAATTCCATGATGAGGTACAAGGTGAATACATCCATGTTTTAAGACAGGCATGAAAAAGACCACCAGAGAGGAAAACAGAAAGAAGAATGTCCCCTACCGAGCTCATCAAAGTGTGTGTCGATGCCATTGGGTCCAGCCACTGAGCAGATCAAACGAGTCTTCAGGAAAGAGCTCCATCTGTTTACCAGCATTCTCTGACCACCCTGGTCATTCTGACAGAGGGGAAGAGATAAAAATACACTTCATTTCACCTGTCCTGTGAGTGGTGCTATCTTGCAGCATAACCTTTTGATAAACACAAAAGTAAATGGTCAATGCTTGGTTGGATAGCTTCAGAAATGTATGCTGCTGGTAAAATATTGCCCCATTATAATCGTAAAAAGCATTTTTTCTCCACTGACGGCCATTAAAAAAAGAATTTACTCAAATATTTGCAAGCCTTTTATTACATAATAATGTTTTGCCAGAGAAAGTTGCTTCTATTTTCCCTCTCTGTTGTATTTGACGTCATGAGTAAAGGGAGTCTGGCCAGGGGCTATTGAGAATGCTAAAAGAAAGCTTTCTGTAACTATTAATGAATGCTGAACAAGCTTGTCTGAAAGAGATGAGCAAGCAAGTTTTTTTTTTGGCATCCACATGCCGTACCGCACAGACTCTTCCCACTCTGGTGTAGACGGCTTTGTTTCCACCCTCCATGTTGGCCACTCGTTCCGTGAAGAAGTAGTAGACCTTATCGTCAGCAGGATCGTCATTGTCAGGGATCACTGCTGAACCCACGAACTTGGGTTCTATACGTGAAAAAAACAAGTACAAAAATATATAGTTAGAACTACACAGAAACATACAGTACACAGCCAATCAAAAGTTTGAAGTTTTTTTTAATGTTTTTGTAAGTAATTTATTTAATTAAAAAATACAGTAAAAACATAAAAACAAAGTATAAATTGTAAGAATATTTCACAAAAAGTAACCAAACTCAGACCATCTCCTCCAGCTCCAGGTAGTCTCGGGTTCGGTACCCTAGTGCGCACCCGGGTCCCATGACCGCGTTCACATTAGCGATTTTTCATGCGAACCGCGCCCCGTTCCGAACTTTTACCTTTCACTGTGAAGATCTAAACATATTTTATGTATATCGAAATCATCTTCCATTGCGATTTCCTGTATATCTAAATATGTTTAGTGAAAGGTAAAACTTCCGAAATCTCTGTTTAAAAAATGAGTGACGTAGACGCGCAAGCGATCACTTCCGGCGCATGCACAGACTGTATCGCCCGTGCCGTCAGATCAGTTGTACATGGCTATGATTACACGAGGTAAAAACGATATAAATACTGTTTCTTTTTCCCACACAAACCGCTTGTTTCGTGTCTTAGGCCATCAGTGTGTACTTACATTTATGAGTCATTAAATCATGTTTAATTTTCACTTCTCTCTGCATGCTCTTTGAGGTGAACCGAGGGAGGACCCCCTAAACCTGCATTATATGACTGATAGACAACAAAAGTATTTATTTTTTCAAAATTGAAAATACTGTGAAAACAAAGACACCCACATCTTGGATGCCCTTGAGGTAAGCTAAAACATATCAAAAATTAATTTCAAAGTGAACTATCCCTTTAAGCATTAAAAAAAAATGTTTTCCACTGATAATAATAAGAAATATATATATTTTTAGCAGCAAAACAGCATATTAGAATGATTTCTGAAGGATCATGTGACACTGAAGACTGGAGTAATGATGCTGAAAACTCAGCTTTGACATCATGAACAAAATATATTTTAATAGAGAAAACAGTAGGTCTAACTTTAAATTGTTATAATATTCCACAATCTTACTGTATTTTTGCTCTAAACAAATTAATGCATTTGTTTGTCCTATGTATTCCAATATGAATAAATCCACTATCGTATTATGCAGTGTGATCTGCATGTTGGCATTGTGCAGCAGGTGTGAGTGGGATTAGATCTTCAGCGCTCTGTGTGTCAGAAGCGAGAACACTCAACTCCAGTTAACACCATTCAAAACATGAACAGACCTCAACCTCAGACTATCAAGTGCACACAGGAAACGTAAAAGTCTCCATGGTTTTGTGCTCTATGCTCTGCATTAAGCACTTGTACGTTATCGAGCAGATGACCTCAGGATGTGATGGTGTTTGACCGGGTTTAATAATGTCTGAATGGATGTGAATAGGTCTCACAGAGATGGATGGTATATGTCAAACACCTTGCTCTCGTCTCGATCTGTCTGTATGATTAATGCATCACAGCACGGGGTCTGAATCACCTGTGAGAAGTGTGAGACGACACTGTATTCTTAGCACAGACTCATCATCTGTGAGTTTGCACACAAGAATGCACAATCTTCAGAATTAATTCTAGCATACTTATTTCAGCATACTGTACAAACATAGAATGTGAAACAGAATTGTAAGCAAAAATATGTTTCATAGTGCATTGCATGTTCAATTCAGCAAGTGTCATCCAGTTATTGCATTGAACATTTTGCATTTTATCAAATATTTTAAAAATAAAAGAGTCGTTATTTACTTATCTCTTTTATCCTTTTTTAACCTTTACTATTATTATTGCTGAATGAGTTATAATATAGGGATAAATAAAGAAAGAGTAAAGAAAAAACTAGAGCCAGACCGTTTTATCGGCAGGCCGCTATTATCGGCCGATATTAGGTATTTTCCAAACTATCGGTATCGGCACTTATAATGGCTGATAAATTATTATTATTATTTTTTTTTTTAAATGGATGAACCACGCTTCAACCATGTCATGAGTGTTGGAGTTGTATAGTTTGTCCACCAGACGGCACTCTACACCGTCCCTGTTGGCAACACTCGTTGAGTTGGTCACGATACATACATTGCTTGAATAACAATTATAAAAACTGATGGGGATGTTAGGGAAATCTGTTAATGTTTTGTTGCGCGTTCCTGAAATAAAAAAAATAAAATAAAAATATCGGCCGATATATCGGAATATCGGATTTTAAAACCAACAGATTTTTGTATCGGTATCGGTCTTCAAAATCATTTATCGATCGGGCTCTAGAAAAAACTTTATAATACTATATAGTATATGGTAAAATCACTATAGTACGTTGACGTAGGCTGTTTGTGCATTGCAAGTCCAAAGTGCCATCTCAATTATGCATGTATCTGCATTGTACAAAAGCTTCATTCATGCATCATCCATTTACAATTTTAAAGATGAAACTATCTGTACTTAAATGCGCATTCTGGCAATTGTTGAAGATAAACCATGTATGCCATCTATACAGAACAGTATACATTAAAAAAAAGTAATAAATAGTCATCGTAGCAGTATGTGGTACTCCAATATTTTGACATGGAGCTGATGTGCTAACTGCACCCACGATGAGGGCACAAGTTTTGTGATACGCGTGGTAAAAGCATCACCTTCATTGAGCTCAGTGGTAGCGTTCTGGGCTGAAGGCCAGAGCTCCTGAACGGCTGCAGGAGGAGATATACAGCAAAGAGGAGAAACATAAAACTAGCTCACAGCAGGATGCCACAGGCCTCTAGGAACCACACGCAGGGCAGCCTGTACATCACTCTTCGTTATTTATGCATCCAGTAGCTATAAATTAGTTTCCATTGTTTTGTTGCAGTAAAAAATGTTGTTTTGTTTAAACTTAACAGATTTACAATAAAAAATGCATTACCAGGTTAAATACAGTGCTTAGCATACAGTAAGTCGCCAATTCTAAAGTTGACTAAAAAGAGGAATAAAAAAATCATCTTTGATAAAATCAAAATTGATTTTAATACCTTAATCAAAAATCCAACCTTTAAGGACACAAATTTTCTTTGTGAATGAATAATGTATTGTAAATAAATACCTGTACATGTTCTTTCTGAAAATACAGGGGGCATAAGTCAGGACACCCCTATGTTAAATTCCCATATGATTTTTTTTTTTTTTTTAAAGGCCAGTTATTTAATGAATCCAGGATATTATACATCCTGATAAAGTTCCCTTGGCCTTTGGAATTAAAATTTCCCACATCATCACACACCCTTCCCCCATACCTAGAGATCGGCATGGTTTTATTTCAGTTAGCCTAATAGCTGGTTTGATTTTCATTGAGAGATGATCTTATGATATAGATTCAGTTTCTACAGTACATGCAACCATTCACACACCATTCACACAGCCATAGCATGTAGTGTATAACAAGGGTAACATGATAGGGTCAGAGTCCAAGGACAGTTTATATATATATAAAAAAGAAACATCAAAAGTTCCGAATCCGTAGCTCCTAAAGTGCATAGTGCCAAATACAGATCAGTCCATCATGATTATTTCCTCAGCTCAATATTTAACAGACTGATTCCTGAGAGAATAAATGATCTTCCATATCGATTAGTCTTTTTAGGGGGCTGCAAGTAATCCCGACCTGATGGCATAAGAACAAATTCATCCCCCAGAAAATGATGTATTTCTCCTTATGGAAAGTACCCCATGCCAACCTCTAGGTTTTAATTAAGGCATTAAGATAAATTTCCAAAAGATGACATTTTATTCCTCTTTTAGTCAACTGTGCATGGGTGTATTCACTTATGCTAAGCACTGTAGCTTTAATATAGCTTTTTTTTTTTTTTTTTGTAGTGATGTTTGTATTAAATAGTACAATAATTAAACATTAAATTAAAAGTGCTGTCAACACCATACCATAATAATACTGTGTTTGACCCCCTTTCACTTGCAGAACTGCCTTAATTCTACGTGCCATTGATTTAACAAGGTACTGAAAGCATTCTTTAGAAATGTTGGTTGGATTAATCAATTTATAAAAAAAATCAAATAAACAAAAATACATAATAGCCTATATTTAAATAAATAATAAAAAATAAAAAAAATTGAGTATATAAATCGAACAGCACATCACTACAGAAAGAAGAATATGTGCAATCGAAATTTTAACATGATTATATTTAGGGATCCAAAAAGCTAATGCCAGCTACATACTGTATGATTTCTGCAATCCTATAAGATCATAACAAATCACACAGTACGACATAGATCTAATAAACTTGGGCATGACATGTTTGTAGACTGTACGATGATGACACCTACTGAATCGTATGCTACGACGCAAGTTAGTATAGAATAGATTAATAAATCATCATCAGCATGCCCTAGTGGTAAACAAATAGAGCTAGATCACACTTTGACAATTGTGGATTTTATGTGCGTTAAAAAAGAGGAGGAAGTGAAAGGAGAGAAAATGGACACGCTCATGGCTAGGGATGCCAATTTTGTAAATGGAGCTTGAGGTAAGGAGGTTTGCTATATCGCATTGATCAATACTCCATTTACTGTTGCACTTTTATAGGCTGGTCAGTAGGCCTAGGTCGAAGCAAACAGACTGTGACGTGATGATGCTAAAGTTCTGACACTGTTTTGGTCGCAAGCCTGTGACTACTGCCGTCACTGAACCTCTCTCACTGTACGATTTAGGACCACCGTTTATGAGCCACGACCACAGAAATCACCACGACTGGTCATATTTCGTCTGGGACAGTCCAAAATCCGGGAATAAAAGGATGAAAACCCCTGGTGTATGTAGCTATTAAAGGCACAGTATGCACATTTTACCACTAGTGGGTGCATATTCAAAACAATAACAAAGGCATAGCTTGATGACGCTGTGAAGGAGCATGGAGTGATGGTACAGTAGTTGTCATCTTAACCTCCAGTGCCAATGGAAATCGATCCAACGGGATTCACAAACTCATACTGTATTTAATTACACTGCCATAGACTTGTTAACTAGACTCGTTAAATTACCCAAGTTCTCTCCATCTAAGACAATCCACACCACTTCTACACTTTGTTTTATTCCTCCTCTTGTCCCAAACTCTTATTGTGCCATTTAATTCACCCGTATGTTTACGTTTTTTGGAGTTATCTTTGGTGACAGGACCTGCTGCAAACGATAACAAATAAACGTGGTCAATGACAACTGTGCGAAACAACATACTGGATGTGACAACTGCCACTAGCACATTCTTTTTTTCATGAGACTGCAATGGTTTCTATGGCAGTAAAAGCAGAAACCGAAGATAACACGGACATGATACCCTTGACACGTGTAATTTCGCACATTGTAATTTTAAAGCTACACTGTGTGATTTTTACCCCCATCTAGCGGTGAAAAGGTATATGACCATCCAGTGAATATTAGTTTGTGTTCCTCTCAATTCTGATTTCGTTTTAACTCCTACGGTGGCTAATGTAGTCCAAGATTAACATGGCTTCCAGTTCGACCTCGTCCATGAGTGTTAACTCAAACATAAACGCGAAAGGCGAAGCTTGAATTAACGGGTCTGTCCCTCTTTGGCTAATGTACTTTCAAGATGGAGGGGCAACATGGCGACCGACATTAGAAACCCTTACCCGTGTGTATTTTCAATGGCATATTACACACTCACGAGAATACTTTATTACTTGAACGAAGTAAATATACATTAATGAGCACATATATTTTTGAAAGAAATAAGTGTTTTTAGGTAAGAATAAATTAAAAGAGTTATGTTGTAGCTTTAAACATTTAAAAATTGTTGGAAACATTTGGGATAATGCAAGTACACAAGTTAACAAAATATATAACACTGACCTAGTGGTTTTTGGATATTTTAATGGAAAAAAATATTACATATCGTAAATAATATGTGGCTCGTGTATGTTGGCAAGTTTCAAAGCTTGTCAACCGGCATATCTGGTGATGCTGGTTGACCAAAGAAGTCTTGCTGGTGAAGCTAGTTATAAAATAAAAATCTTGATGACACCAGGCCACCATCATCCAAGCTTGTATTTTCAACAGGGATTTAGAAGTTAAGTTTGGGTTTTCTCTCACCATTCAGCTGCTGTTTGTCACCCACTTCAGTCCTAATGAAGCTGTGGTTGCCAAGACGATAGAGAGCGGCATCATTCTCCCAATAATCAGTGTACAGGCCCACAAACAACTCCCCTCCTGTCAATCAAACGTGAATTAAAAGAGAGAAAAAATAATCAGTATTATAGAATGAAATCAAGAAAGTCTTGTAGAATTTAATATGTTAAGCTGAAGTGTTTGTTTATTATTATTACTTAAGCAGTTATTTAACAGTTTCGATGTATAAAAATTAAATATCACTTAAAAGAGGAGAGTCTTAAATCAGTTCAGTGATGCTATGATTTCACATGACATTTTACAACAGAAGCCCTATACTTCAACATTTACTGACAATGGTTACATCCCTGAATGCTAATGCACAATAGTTTTGGGATTCTGTTTGTCATACATTAAAATACCACTAGGTGGCACTGCAGACAATGGTAAATAACTGCCAGTGTGAGTCATAAATCCTGCAAGAAGTCATGATCTAAAGGGCATTATCAATTTAGCATTACATATTCTTTATAAAGAACGATCCTGATTCTGGGGCCGACTGGGAGAGACTAAATTAAAAGCTCAGCTGAATAAAGTCTGCAGCTGCTGTGAGAAAGGAAGTCATCAAATTCATCTCTAAATCAGATCCCTGTCGCCCTGTGATTGAGGGCTTTAAAGGAATCGAGCTGGAGTGTGTTATGAAGAGCTTTTGTGCTCAGTGGCCCCTGGCTCAAAATGCACTCCCTTTCCTTTCAAAACTCAAGAATACACAATCTGAAGTCTGAACAGCACGCTGAAAAGGAGAAGAGGGAAGCTACAGAATACAGATAAATAAAGACATGGCTGTAAATGAAAGGAGGGCAAAGACAGGGAATATTAAAGTTGGAGGACTGAAGGAGACTAAAACTGCATTCTTACGATGCACAGTGGATGCCGAAGGGCTGTTGGGATGGAATGGGCATCTTCCTTTGCCACTCTCTATGTGATCAGACTCCAGCTTGAACTCTTGCTCCTGCTGGAACACAAACACACGTTTACCAACTTATGTGGACTAGTTTTAATTTTAACAAAATGCTAAATATAAATATAATATAAAGGCATATGTAAAGGTTATATACACACTATTGTTCAAAAGTCTGGGGTCAGTAAGATTTGTTTGCTTTTGAAGGAAGTCAAAAAATAAAAAAGAAAATCTTGTGCATATTTTATTGTAATATATTTTAAAATGTATTTTATTTCTGTGATGGCAAAGCTGAATTTTCATCAGCCATTACTCCAGTTGCCAGTGTCATATGATCCATCAGAAATCATTATGATATGCTAATTTGGTGATTAAGAAACATTTCGTATTATTATCAATGTTGAAAACGTTATTTATTTATCAAAATAGATTTTTTTTTATTTTATCAAAAATGTATCAATGTAATGCATTTTTGCTTTATAAACATATTAATAAAAATAAATAAATAAACGTACTGACCCAAAACCTTTGAATCTTAGCGTATATGCTTCCAAAATATTACATAATAATTGTTATTAAAATATATAATAATCATTTAACGAAGCTGGTTTACCAACTCTTGCTGGTTATGTTTGTAATATCTAGAGGGGATACTTAATTTTAAGTATTTAAAAAATAATAATAATAATAAACCCCACTTAAAATACCCTCTGGTTACCAGCATATATATATATATATATATATATATATATATATATATATATATTAAAGTTGTATATTGTATATTATTAGTATATATACTAATATATATATATATATATATATATATATATATATATATTAGGGCTGTGCAAAAACTAATTGCGATTAATCGCATCCAAAATAAAAGTCTGTGTTTACATAATATATTTGTGTGTGGTGTATATAATTATTTTGTGTATATAAATACACACACATGCATGTATATATTTAAGAAAATGTGTTATTCATATATAAAATATTTATATTTATATAATTTAGATCATGTATATATATATATATATATATATATATATATACACAGTATATATCTACTATATATATATATATATATATATACAGAATTTAAGCGCAAATAATTCTTAAATATATACATAGACTATAGACTATATAATATAGACTTTTATTTTGGATCCGATTAATCGCAATTGGTTTTTGCACAGCCCTGTTCTAATAACATAACCAGCAAGAAATGGTAAATTAGCTTCAACAGAAAGATCAAGGACAGACATGTTGGTCTAAGCTAGCATCTTCGGAAGGGTAGACAGCAGAAACCTGACACAACAGTTCTTAGCATTGCAGCAAGAAGAAGAAAACAACACTGCAAACTACCAGTCAGCCTTCAGGCGACTTGTATCACTGAATATAATCTATTAACACATCAGTATCGTTGTATATTACAGTGGCTTCTCATCATAAAGCACACAGGCCTTCAATGCATATCCTGCAATCTCAGGGGAAATATTCCATCCAGGTGAAGCAATGGAGGGTAAAATGAGATTTGAAAGCACACATCTAAGTCCTTCCTCACATGAAAAGCCCTTTGAAGAATCACTTTGTCTCTACCGTTACTGCAAAGCTCACTTTAACCAGAAGGTGACGGTATTAGCTGTGCAACATGTGTCGCAGAACAGGCGTTCACAAACTTGATTTATGTTCTCACACCGTGTGATCCTGGAGAAACAAACACCACACATGTAATACCAGTCCATCCATCATTTCCCTTCTTTACATCATTCTTCTACTCTTTCAACAGGAAGACCTTTTCCCGATCATTCGCTCCTCGAACTTCATACAAAACTGGAATGGAAATAAATCCTAAGCCAAACCCATAACTTCATGTTCCTTTAATGAAGCGTTACTGTTATGGGTATAAATTATAAAGGTTGGCTGTGGACTCTCAAAATAGTTATGTTTTTAATGGTAAAAGACTGTAAAAAGGTTATAGTGCAAAACTGTTAATTAATTTACAGAAAGTTTCTGTACTATATATGGTAAATACAGTTTTTGAAAGTAAAAACAACAACTCACTGTAATTTACAGTGAAAAACTATAAATTTACATTCCCACAATTCCCTGTGTGATACTTCACATTTCATGTATTTTTGTTTTGTTTCCTCATTGTTTTCTTGTGGTTATCAATGTCTTACAAAGTACAAAACAAATATCAATTCTTCAAAAAGTTGGTAAATTAACATTATGTCATTATATAATTAACATTATATCAGATAATGAAATACGGTTTATTACTGTATTACTGTAAAAAAGTTCAGACTGTAAAACCAATAACATTGCTACTGTATTTTTGACAATAAACTTCTGGCAACCACCACAGCTGCCGTTTTTTTACCGTAAAAAAAAAATTGTGTTTTTATTTTTTACAGTTGCAGAGTAAGGTCCTTTGTAAATGTACAAATCTTACTTAACTTATCTTGTGATCACCAGTCCAATAGCATCAGCCCTTGTGGCCAACACATGTGGTTGTACGTGAGCATATCTGCTTGTTTAAGCAGATGATGTGCCTGAAGTAACATCCGTGGCATAGATGAGATGAAATAGTTTGAGATTCACATGATAATCAGCACACCTTAAGGCTGATTAAGTCATGCACACACAAACTCACATGCACACCTTGTGGGTGGACACATGGTTCAGATTTGAATGAGGTTGAGCGATCGTGTTGCGTATAGTTAGGGGGGTTGAAATGTTAGGTGAGAGATGACCTAAACTGACAAATACAGAATACCCAAACTTGAGTGATGGTGGAATTACTAGTATGTCAACAAGGTCTGGTCCAAAATCAAGTGAGCTGCCTATATCTTTTAAGCATGACTGTATCCTCCCTAGACATTGAGGGGGAGTTTACACTACACCATTTTCAACTCAAGCAGATGTGCTCTAGCCATTCACGACAATGACATGTGGGGGACTTAAAATGCAAACTTTTAAAAAAGGGGCTCAAAATGCAAGTTTTGGAAACCGATACCCCTTTTTGTCTCTGTGTAAACTACAAAAACGCGAATTTGGGAAAACGTGTTTTACGTGTTCAGTCTATAGGCGCCTAGTTTTTCTTTACAAAGTGACATCGTCAACTACTACATAATACACCATTTATAACAGTTTTCACAGTGTTCGACTTCAGTAACACAAACCACACAAATTACGCCCCCTAAATTTCCCTTACAAATATACAGTATTTAAATACATGTTTCAAGCATATTTTAATTTACCACAAATGCTTGTCGGTACATTCAGCAGTAAACATTCACCATATTTAAAAGACAATAGAAGTTATTCTGAAATTATATATGGTACTACAATATATCAAAGAAGAACTAAAAAAAAAAAATATTTAAAGCCATGTCTTTTGGGTTTTTTTTTTTTCCCCAGGGACACCAAGAACTGATAGCGTAGAAATTTAGATGCACCCTAGTGGCAGCAAAATTTATTTTGTAAAATTATATCAGTGTGGTCTAGCAACTCTCCATAGACGAGTTAGCTGGAAAAACCAAACTCTGGTCAGGCCAATCACATCGTGTATAGAGTCGGCGGGCGGGCTAAACATAATGACGACAGAGTTGCGACGGTTCACTGCTACTTGAAAACAAAGAATGGCTGCTGCTGGCGAACAGTTGTCTTTCGATTCGGCTTTGACCGCTACTCTGGATGATTTAAACTTAAGCTTTTCTTTGAAACCAGAACAAAGAAAGGCACTTGAGTCATTTTTTTTTTTAAAGATGTGTTCGGAGTTTTGCCGATTGGATACGGTAAAAGTTTAATATATCAACTTGCTCCGCTGGTGGGAAAACGCATGGGACTCAGTCGTCACCTTCTTCGTTGCTTGATTGGTTGTAGCGCTACCCAATTGCGTGCAGAGAGAATTTGATAGACAACCGTTTATCCCGCCCCTCGGATTGAGCCCTGTCAATGATGAGTTCCCAGACCTAACATCTTGATGTAGGTCTGGCATGCCAGGCTAAAGAACTGATAAAATTGAATGCAATCTACAGTACGTTGCTTTGCTATAATATATTTTCCATTTAAATGTGATTAACATGAAAAACATTTATTATATTATATTAGCCTATATTATATTTTATTAGGACACTCAACATGTTTTGAAATATAGGCCAGGTATATTGAGGTATGATGTGGGTGCATTAGTATACAGTAAGTAAGTATGTGTAAAGCCCATGAGAAAACGCAGGGTTTGGTGAAAGAGAAGACAGTGAGATGGAATGGTGTGCTGTGATGTGTCAGGTGATGTGCGTATGGGCGCAAAGGGCCGAAACGGGGCTTATAATCCTGATGCTTGGGAAGGAATGTGTGCAGGGGCGTTCTCCTGCATGTATGTGTGTATGCTCCCCTCTCTCGGCGCTTCTGGTCTGTGTCTCTCTTGCTTTATCAGTCTTTCTTGTCATCAGCTACATCTGCATCATGTCATCCCAGCGCTCCAGAGCTGAGTGTGTGTATAATTGTGCAGGTATCTGTATCCATCTTTGTCGTGAATGAATGCAAAGACCAACTTGTATGTGCACACATGCATATGTGCCTCGTATGCATCTCATTAAGTGTTTAGGGTGTAGATGTTCCAGACTGAGGCGTGTGCTAGCAGCCTGCAGCTCAACACTGGAGTTATCAGGCACCCCGCTGAAGACTGTCTCCTCTAATTAAACCTTCTCTGATCTCCAGCCCGTGGCTCCCACAACGCCCGTGGCTCTCTCCTTCACCTCTGCCGGAGGGTCAGGGAGCCAGAACTACTTACTATTCTGATCTCTGAACCTGGTTGGGATAAAAAACAGGAATTCTAGGGACCTATGATTTCCGTGATGTGGAAAACGCGGACAGATCTAAATCCAGTCATTATAAATGTCATGGATGAATAAATCAAATGTAGGGTTGTACATCTAGTCAAATTGTGATATAGACTATAGTCTGTGAATATTAAACCAAAAAAGACTATATATATATATATATATATATATATATATATATATATATATATATATATATATAGTTAAAAATCTTTATATATGAGGATAATTGACATCTCTAGAGTTGCTTTGAAAGTCACTTAAAGGGGCACTATGCAGGAATTCCGTTTTTGTCAAACAGTGATCCCTAGAGTCGCTGTGAAGTACTTGTATTTAACGTTACTGTCGTAAATACCACTCACGCAGAGTGTGACATGTTACATAGTATACAATAGTACATTGTGTTTGATCGTTTAATGAGATCTGATATACAGTATATATATATATATATAGATTATATATATAACCTTCCAAAGATTAAGAAGTAGAGGGAAAGAAAGTCTGAAGGCTGACTGCCACAATGTGGCACAGGAAAGAATCCAGATTCTCAGTTTCCTTCAAATAAACGTCTCCTTTTGCTCTTTTCTTTAGCCTGTTCCTTCAAATAAACCTCACTTCACTGTGATTAGCCGCTCTGTAATTTGACTTGAGGCTCTCCTGGGAGGATGGAGATGTTTGTTTTCGCTTGTCTGGATGTTTGGTTGGAGATTTTAACAGAGTGAGAATGATAAATCTCCCCATCACACACACTAAAACAAACTCTGTCTGTCTCTCTGGAGACCAGGCTGTTGAAGAGTGTTAAAGTCGCTTCAGAAACAAAGCACTGCCAGAACTACTTTCTGTCACCTTTATATTTTACATCATTGATAGGATTTTGCCTCCTCATTAGAGAGACAGTGGAGATAATGACAGGAAATTGTTGGGAAGAGAGAGAATGTCAAAATGTGAAAGTCTAGCATACAAAAATAGGATATAAAAAGTGTTTTGTATAGTGTATTGCCAATACAAAGAAGCGTTGATTTAATATACAGCCAATAGAAAGACTAGATGCACTATTTTCGCAATGACAAAGTTTAACTGCCATCAGCAAATTTAAACATCAGCAAAATGTCAATGCTAATGAAAATATTTTATTGCCTTAAAGTTGAAAATGTGAATAAGATATATATTTTTTTTAATTAAGGATCTTTGGATCAGTGTTGTTTTAGTATTACTTTTATAGTATTTATGAATGTAGCAGGGTGAGGCTTAACTCCCGTTGCGATCGGCCAGCGTCATGGAAATAAGTGAACCTATAAGTACCCGTTTTAGGAATATATATTAAAAAAAGGGTGGTTCATTTGTTTGGGATGCATGCGTCACCTTTGGTACCGCTTCTTGTGGACATTCTGTGTTGCGATTGAGGAATAGTAGTTGCTTACAATAGCCCCCAGTTCTGCCAGGACCACTATCGTCAAATACGATAGACAATGAGCATACAGTTTGGAATGGTGGTATGATTCCGATCTGGGCGAGAACTCCCTGTGCATCATGCAGCCTAGCATGGATAAGAGCAGGGAGAGCAGCATTACCCCCCTTACGGTAAACCGAACAGAACCAACATGAATGTATTGCAAATATCATTAATTCAAGATTTTAGAATACAACAAAATTCAGGAATTTAAATTATTCTGATTCTGAATCAGAATGCCAAATGCTGACTAACAAGAGGAGGAGCTAGGGATATAGGAGGGTAATTAGCTCCTGAGAAACGCGATAGCTGCTGATAATACTGAGGGTGCTTATATATGTATACAGTGATGGGCGCCGTATTCCTATAGGTAGACGTGTATCATCTGAGAGTCAGCAGATGCGAGCTTGACTAACGTGACCTGCCAGAGCTGACGCTGCGCTTGATTTTTTTGGCATGCAAGTAGCCATGAACCTCTCTGGTTGAACTGCACGTCTAAGAGTTCACGTAATTTAGTTTGGGGTTGAATGTTGTTAAAAAGTCAAACAAAGTACAAATGAACAAAGCTTCACATTGAACTTTTCGGCATGCAGCCCCTACTCGCCTTCCAGCATAGGAGGCGGGTGCGCCAACAAGGACGTTAAAGACCGTAGTCTCTAGTGTCAGACACTAGTGCGCTTCTTGAGATCAGGGGAGTGAGGTTTACTTGTACTCTGTAACACTCAACCCCCTAAACCTTACTCCTATCTGGGTCACGGCATTGATAAAACCCCTTTGTTCCTATTTACCCCACTCCGAGCGAGACTCGAACCGGCGTCTCTGGGCCGGGAAGGGGGGGCACTAACAAAGACGCTAATGACCTCAGTCTCAGTCAGTCGCTAGTGTGTCTCTTGAGATCAGGGGAGTGAGGTTCACAGTATACTAGCTGGCCTCTGTTATACACATAGCAGTAAAAATTTAGGTCATATTCTTTAATCTGTAACTCTAAACCACCAGATTTTTAACATTCCTTTAATGATGATACAATTCCATATGCTTTTAAGCATTTATTTCCTTCCACCTGCAAACTGTGAATTTCAAGCAAGCTGAAAACCAGCCATCATGTTATCAAACAGCCCTCCTTCCTGAAATGTGCTCCTAATACTTCACGGTGACACACAGCATCTGGATCTTTTTACAATCAAAGATTTCAGATCCAAACAAGACCAATGTTTTAGTGTCTTGAGATGTTAAATGCTTTAACTTGTTGCCACTCTGACTGGTTTCAATTATGGCAGGAGTCTTTGCACCACACCATGTGTAGAAAAGAGTGAGAGTGACAGTCGCAGACTACAAGGGTAGTTTCCAGGACTATGTCTCTGGTGACAAACAACAGCACAACACTGGACACACTCAATCTGTGGTTCAATAAAACACATTCCTCAGAAGATAAACAGGAACTCCTCAAAGCATGTTTTCTGGAATATAAGTCAGAAAGTGGACAGAATGACAAAACGACACCGGGGCATTTTCAGCGACCTCAGTCTGCTTCCGATACAATAAAATCCTTTAAAGACGCTGTGGTCACTGAGGCATCTCTGAAACTTTGTTGTCAACAATCTGTGACTCATATTATGGTTTTAAAACATGCAAATGGCATTGTGTTTGTTCAACTTCTGTCTTTGAAAAACAATGTTTCAATGATAAAAGAGGCAATTGTGTCACTTTCATGTTTTCCAATAAAAATATCTAAACTATGAAGATTTACTAACATTCATTAAGCATTTTCAACTCTTGGTGATTCTATGGGCCTTCTCCATGAATTGTCTTGGCAAGGTCGCCAGGTCCCCATTACATGACTTGGGACTCACACACACATGCATTCACACCTACAGACAATTTAGCATCTCCAATTCACATATGCTGCATGTATTTGGATTGTGGCTAAAAGGCTAAAAAAAAAAAAAAAAAATTATTTAAAAATTCTAAATGAATTACACAAAGTGTCAATTAATTTAATTTATTGCAATTAATCACATTTCAATATTTTTTAAGATGATTCAAATTCATTATTGTAATTTGTTTTAATTAATTACACTAGATGAATGTGTTAAATTGACTCGATTATCTTATTGCTAATTGATATTTCCAAGATGTTTAGATACTTGAAAACAAGATTTTTTTTTTCTACCGCAAAGTATATAAGATTTACTGTACCTGTGTTCCCTGACCCACTCTGATATAGGCACACACCGGGCTGAAGGCTCCAGTTCCACATGCTAACAGGTGGGTGCTGTTATAATGCTGCACCAGCTTAATGTAATTTGCACACTCCGGCTAAGAGAGAGGGACAAAAAGAAAGATACATATAAAGAGAAGAAAAGAAGTTAAGACTGAAGATGAAATGTGTTTTTTTAAACACATTTCATCAAACATTGTAGTCATGTAACAGGATACCACTGTGTCGCATATACAGGATGTATAAGTTATTTACCTTCTCTCTGCCTTGCATTAAACAGTCCCCCACCTGCTCCTCAGAGCTCGCCCAGTGAATCTAAAACAGAGAGAAAGGCAGTTTGGTTGTGTGTAATGTTCTGGCACAGAAATGCTCTTGCTCTACTTGGCTAAATACTGTCACATTTATGTTTGACCTGTGGTTGCATGAAAAAGACAAGTTTAAACTTTCTTTATTCCTGTATTCCAGGGTCTTGGGTTTGATTCCCAGGGAATGCATCAACTGATAAAATGCCATTTTGGATAAATTTCATAAATTCCAAGTACACTACAGTTGAATTATTACTCGTTGCAACCGGCTAATTATAATCCTGGCTTTATTATAATAATTATAAAGCAGATTTTCCAAGTCCACTAAATATTTGTCTACTTAAATTATAAAAAATATATTGCGTATGGTCAAACCTCAAGATGGTCACCATACTGAGATCAAATTATCAGCTATATTTACTTTATCACAGTAAATCTGACTTTAGTTTTTGGCAAATGACATATCGGAAGTCATTCAATTGCAATTGAAAGTAGTAAGGGAGTAGTATTTTCAGATCTGATTTTTGGTTAAAATTTTATAACTTCTGTGACTAGATTGTATGGAACTGCCTGACTGACATGATGTTTTCTTATTAAAACTATGAGCGTGAAGATTTTTGCACTAAATAATTTTAAACATTATTTCTGTAAAATGTGCGGTTACGAATACTTAAGCCTGTAATGATTGTTTTATAATTTTTACATAATTATTCATGTTGGTTAGTCCTAGAAAACCTACTCTTCTTCTCTTTTAAACAAATCAGTGGTCATTTGGTTTGTGTGGACACAGTTTATTCATTAAAGGGATACTCCACTTTTTCTGGATATTGGCTCATTTTACAACTCCCCCAGAGTTAAACTGTTGAGTTTTACCATTTTCAAATCCATTCAGCCGATTTTAGAAGAATATCGGTAACCAGACAGTTTCTGGTCTCATTGACTTCCATGACTAGTATATTCATTTCTACTATGGAAGTCAATGAGACCAGAAACTATCTGGTTACTAATATTCTTCTAAATATCAGAAAATCAGCTGAATGGATTTGAAAACGATAAACCCCAACTGTTTAACTCTGGGGGAGTTGTAAAATGAGCCTATTTCCAAAAAAAAAAAGTGGAGTATCCCTTTAAATTTACCATGAAGGGTAACAGTTGCTTCACAACCATTTTGAAAGATCCATGCAAATGCCACTAGGGGCTAAAATGTGAAATTAATATGCGATCAGACACTTTAGCTTGGAATGAATTTATACATACACCCGAGTTGGTATTTCTACAATGAACTTTAACACCAACAATGTCTGCTTTTAACATGATGCAGCATTTACGGCAATAAGTGCAAAAAAAAAAAAAAAAAAAACTATAATTAACAGTTTCAGTGCACCAATGAGCAAAATGATTTGTGAATGCCCATGAATAGAAGGGGAGCAGATGGCTGCAATCCATCTCTGGGTTCTACTTGCATGAGTTTCTGATTTTATTTATTTATGTGTAGTTAAGCTGTGACTTTTTTAGCAACAGACGTAAAATGACTTGCACAATGTTCACTCAAGAGGCAAATGAGCTAATAAACTGTACCACAACACACACAGAGATAACAATGCTGAACAGACATGTCCAAATTCTAAAAACACTGTAAATGGATGTACCTCTTTGTGAGGGGCAGTGATGCGCTCCAGATTGAGAGAGTACAGGATGTCTTTTCCACCGACGATGAGCCTTTCCTGGGTCTCATCCAGTAACATACTGTAGTGCGGCAGACGCCCCTCTCCGGCCTGGAACAGCCACGTCCTGTTCAACTCCCATAAATCTAAAAACACATAAACAATTAGAAAGTCCACATGATTTGACACACCATTCATATCCAAAACACAAACTGTGCAAGATGAATTGTGCACCAAACTTAAATACTTTGGAATTTATTGGTGAAGATGATTTAGTTCTGCCATCATTTCCTCAAAATGGACAAAAAAGCAAAATAAAAGCACCATTTTGTGCACAAGAATCCAAGACTTCTAAAAATCAGATTGTTTTGTGAGAGAAAAAGGTCGAGACACTTGCCCCAGTCCACAGGCCATTTTGTGAATTAATAATTTTCAATGAATTGGTTGATCCAGTTCACAAACCAGCCTGAACGATTTGAGGGTTTTCAATAGCGTTACATATTATTTTGTTTAGTTGTCTATTCATGGGAGAATCGTAATCCCAATTTTTAATGAAAAAAAAAAAAATCATGATTCTCAATGTATCCAGAATCATGCAGCTTTAATTTTTATTTATTTATTTAGTAAAAATTAAAGCACTTTCTGCCCCTTAATTTTGATCTACAGCGCATGACTCCAATCTCTCAGCTACTATGATGCATTTATTTCCACCACAGAGTGAAGTCAGGCAGCTGGAACGGGATTAAACAGTCCACCACATATAGGACCAAAATCAGACAAAGATGCACTGATTCAGTGAATCGTGATATGAGAGAAATTGGATTATATGATTAATCAAAGTATGCAGTGTCAATGACTTATGACAGATTTCCTGAGTGCGTTTACGTGTGTGTTGGGTTGCTCCATGGGGAGTTGCCCTCGTAATGGTCTTGACCTTCTGATTTATTCAGCGTGTGTGAGTTGGCCCTCCAGTCCTACACACCCAATGACAAAATGTGTTTTTCATTTTAAAACCTCTCTGGTTGCTTTAGACTGCAAAATGGCAGCCTCCCAACCCACATGCAGATGCAGGCAGATTCATCGTGGATACACACGCATATACCATTGGATGCTGGTTGAGTATAATGACACATTGCCAATAAATACATAAATAAATAAATACATCTTTTTTTTTTAAAGAGGAATATATTAAAAGGAACAATTCAGCAGAAAATTATTCATTCTACTATTGTTGACTTGTTTTAAATGTAATTTCCAAACCCCTATAACATTTTTGCTTCATTAAATGTGTATTTTTCAGGAATATCCCACTCTTTTTCATATAATGAAATCGTTAAAGGGATACTCCACTTTTTTTTGGAAATGGGTTCATTTTACCAGTCCCCCCAGAGTTAAACAGTTGAGTTTTAACGTTTTCAAATCCATTCAGCCGATTTTCTGATATTTAGAAGAATATCAGTTACCAGGCAGTTTCTGGTCTCGTTGACTTCCATAGTAGGAAAAAAATATATACTATGGAAGTCAATGAGACCAGAAACTTTCTGGTTACTGATATTCTTCTAAATATCAAGAAAATCCATTGAATACATTCGAAAACGGTAAAAACCGGTAAAGGACTAAAGCTGTCATCTCCAAAAAGCACTACAATAGAATCAAAAAGCCATTATGTAATTGTAGTTAATATTGTAGCTCACTGGAAGGGAAGACCACCATTGAATGATGATTTAAATTTGACCGTTTTCATCACACAAAGCTATAATATCACTTCAGAAGAGGATATACAGTAGTTTTAGTCATATGCACTGCTTTTTGTATAATTTTAGAAGCTTAAAATCTTCAGCCCCATTGCAGTTACATGGAAAACAGAGACCAAAATGTATCCTTTTGTGTTCCACAGAGTCCAATTGTCAATTTTGCATATACTAATTCTTTAATAGAGCCGCTTAGAATGTTAGAAGGCAAAAGTATTTATGAAAAGAAGATAAAGGAACCAGACAGACAGATAGGGGATAAAACGGGATTACTAAAATGATAGCGAGAGAGATAAACAGACATGAAGAAAGTGGAAAGAGACAGACAAGGTCAAAAACAGACTTTTATAGTGGCAGACTTTGATCAAATTTTTGTGTCTGAGAACAGCTCTTCTGAAAGACGTTCAATGTGTCTTTAATTAGGTTTATGAGTCTTTCGGTTAATAGAACTGCCTTGGGATATATAGAGATATGCATATACACAAGCAACACCCACCGTTTTCAAGTTCATTTGGAAGTCAATCTCATACTTCACCCTGATGTGGTTTTGCAGATACAGGTCTAAAAGTCAGGATAAGAAACTGAAAATTATTCCTGACTTTTAAACTCCATTGTATCTGCAAAAGAGCAGAGTAAAACATTATTATATATACTGTATATGCTTTTATTAATTCAAGGTCCCTGCCCTATTGATGTTTATGTGACCTGTCATTTTGTTTTATTTATGTTCATTGTATGAAATCAATTCCACAAGGCCTCTTTCATTCAATTTGATTACGAGCTTCTTTCTCATTCTAAATCTACGTGTTTGGCCTCTTCTTCGTGAAGATAAACGAGAAAGATAAAAGAAATAAATAAAACCAGACTTAGCTCATGATTTGACTGGGCTCTCTAAGTGATGTTTCACAGGGAGGGTTCGTCCATTCTTTTAAATATTTATTTAATATACTGCATTTATTAGCGGAGGCCACAATGAAATAGGATTCGGCATCATAATTTAATGGCCACTCTATGTGATGTTTCACAGGGAGGCTGCCACCATTCTTTTAAATATTTATTTAATATATTGCATTTATTAGTGTGGACCACAATGAAAAGCCATAAGGCATCATAATGTTTATAAAGAGACCTTGTATCTTGAACAAACAGCAAATGTCCCAACAGAGGCAAAAAATAATAATCCTGAATGCCCCCAGAGACAATGAGAATTTTAACCCCTCACAATTACTAACTCAGTGCCCTTGACCGGGCAAGGGTCGTACTATTAGACTCTTCCGTGGAGGGGTAGAGGAGGAAATCAGGTGAAAAGAGAACCATTCAACTGGTATAATAAATTAAAAACATGAGTAATGTACTCCTAATATACTCAATATGAGCAAATGTGGTTTGAAACTGAATAACTTAACATTTTAGAAAAAAAAAATATTGCCTATTAGTGCAATTCACACCAAGGACAATTCCATACAGTGTTATGATTATTTTAATTCTATGAGAATAGTGATGACCACACCACAGCTATTACGATAACAGAAGACCGATATCATTGGAATCACTTTCAGAACTTTTTTTTACCAAGTGATGAACATATATAAACATCAAGGTTCTACAGAGAACTATTTATTTTATTTTTTTTAAGATTGGAGTTTTGGCAGTAGATGGTGACCATTGATTTTGTCTTTATGAGTAAGTATGAAACCTTCACTCAACCAATTAGTTCAAAACTGATTACTTCAGGAACAAAACAAGTGACGGTCCTTTTTGAGTGAGTAAAATTAACTATAACATTAACTAGTGTCCACACCAGTCCACAATAACATTATGTTTATTATGAAAGCGTGTTGTAGTTATGTCATCTACCAGTTTAAATGCCTGAGGTCTCGAAAAGATTCTGATTGGCTGTTCAAGGGATCTGTCTTGATAAGCCAATCACATTTAAATAAAATAACTAATTGTTAAACGATAATGTTGGTTTACATGTTATTGACGGGCAACATATTTATTAATTCAGATTGTAAGTAAAAGTAGGGGAGCGCAAGGCACAACCTAACGCGGGGTTAAATGTAACACGGACTTTTTACGTAGTCAGTCAGGATCAAGCAGGTTGTCTTCTGCTATTTTTCTCTTGCTGCCAGAAGACGGTCTCCCGCGAATTTGCGGAAAGTTTTGATAATGTTTCGTGAAGATACTGGACAAAAAGTGTTTTGACACCATGCAAGTACATTTTTTCATTATAGGTTATTTTCGGTTTCCGAGTTGTGTGTATACGTTTCCAAAATCTAACTTTATATTGCCTTAATCACTGTCTTGTTGGCTCAAACATGGCACCATTTTGAAACATGTCAGCAATTCCTTTAGCAACTGTTAGCTAGGCTTAAAATATGTAATACACAGTGGGGTTAGTTGGAACAGAGTGTTACAACTAAACCGCCAATTGTACAATGATAATCAAATGAAAAAGGAGCCACACAACTTTTCAGGTTTGAGTATACATTTAACTTTGTTGGACTTTCACAAACAATGTTGGAATTTAAAATGTTTAAAATTTAGTGTACTATGAATGATAACTTGTTTATTTATAAAAAAATATGGCCTGTTTTTAATGCAATAAACCCTTTAAATTTTTATTTTAAGCTCATTTGTATTATTATTACTTTTATTATTATTAATAATAATAATAATAATAATAATAATAATAATTGTACATCCAGCTGCCACACACAAATGTAATTTAATTGCAATTAAAATATTTATAATTTTATTTATTATTATTTATTGCAAAAACTGTGCAGCCCTTTTCTATGTCTCTATCCATGATATTGATCCACAATAGAAGGATGATTGGATGAGGGATGGATGTATAGATATCTGTCTATACAGATGCACAAACAATATTAAAATATACAAAAAAAATAGTACTGAATTATGTGTGTTACAACTAATCCCTGTCTGTTACAATTAACCCCGCATATGGGGTAAATTGTAACATTTGCACTTCTGTCACTTTCAGTGCAACTGTACGAAAATGGTAGATCCTAGAAAAAAAACTTAAGTGTTCATTTGTAGCAGAGATGTGTATGTTGCTTGTGTAAAAAAAAAATAATAATAATAATCGAACCTAATTATTTTTTATTTAATTGAGCCAAAACTAATATGCGTTAGGTTGCCCCGCTCTCCCCTACATTTAAATAGGCACCCCTATGCTTTTAATAAAAAAGTGACTGTTTTTGCTTTCAGGAAACATTGTCAATCCCATTCTCAGACCTGTCAACTAATAAATTTGAAAAAACGGTTATTGAAAGTGAAATGACCCAAACCCTCTCTAATCCATATCCCCATGTGCCGAACAGGCTGCATTTCCCCGTAAGCTAAACTCAAGACCGTTTCCTCTGCATAAG